TGGTTTGGGGTTGGCCAGTCCATGTCTCATGATGGCTTAATCTCATTTTATAACTGCGGGGGATTCACTGGGGTGCTTTGCAAGCAACACGCTCCTTCACCCAAGGACAGTCCTGGACGCCTTCCGAAATGTGCTGTGCCCACTACAAGGCTCAGATTGCTAAACAGCAAATTACTCTGTCCTCCAAGGGACTGTCAAACTTTCTGGATCTGTGAAGTTGAGATCCTGCTTCTACACAACTAAATGGTGTGGTTCTTGTTTATCCAAATGGGAACCAAATCAAAGACACAGAAATAATAGCGCTGTTTCAAGAGTGTAAGTTTTCCTCTTCATGCCACCCTCCATCCCAACAAACTTCACAGCACTATTGCATTAAATAATGCAGTAAAATTAACAGAAAATATATACTTATATATATAAAAATATATATGTATATACAGTTTCTATGTGGAAAATAAGTAATTAAAAATAATATTTAAAAAAATGGAAATTAGAACTGATTCTTAAGTCCCTACTGCAATAACTGGAGTATGCTGTTCATTTAGTCCTAAGCATGCTCCTTAAAACAAACTGAGATCTTTCAATTATTTAATCAGAATTCCACTTCCATATATATTTTATACCACAGTTTATTCCCAAAGCTGAGGATAACCTCTCATTTTCTGAAAGCTCTTAAAATCTTTCTTAAAGAAAAAGTAAAGAAATCTGCTGTTTGCAAGTTCTATTTACTTATTGCTTACTTCCAAACTAAAGTAGTTCATTTAATGAAGGAGAAAAAAAAGAGCGAAAAAGAAAAAGACTGATGTGGTGCCTGTAGCCATTTCCCAAATTCTTCAGAGTTTATAGACCTAGGGAGACTGGGAAAGAGCAACTTCTCAGCAGTGCAGTAGAATAGGCTAAAATGACCCTGTGAAACCCAAGCGATTCTGGGAATTAAAGGATGTTCGCTCCTGTTATGGTTCTACACTGCAAACTGCTTTTAGGGCTCCCAGTAGTACCCATTAGCAATAGCCAAGCTTTTCTGTTTTAATTTAATTTAATTTAATTTCCACCAACAAATTCCACTCTGTGGTGAGAATTGACAGTATCATGTTGAGAGCCATTAAAGCGTATTTGGATTGTTTTTACTCCATGTATGTATATAAAAAAAAAAATACCCCACCCTTTCTTTAGACAAGCCACTTCATAATAAGAGTGAGGCAGACACAATGGAGGCATCATTATGCTGTGGGATACCACCATAGGGAGTGTGGTTGGAGATACAGGGGAACATGCCTTGGCACTGCACTACCAGCCTGGTCCCAGCTCCACTCTGAACCTCCCCATGAGACCAGAACAGAGCCTGGCAGCACCAGTCGTGTTCCTCCAGTTACCACCTGGACAGACCTGGTGTCCTTCTGCACTAAGGCCCTGTATATCGCTGCTGCTCCCTTTTCTCCTTGAGTGCTTTCTGTTCTCTTAAGGACATCTTTGCAACTTGAAACATCTTCATGCTTATGTAGCCTTCGGCTTTGCTGGGAATTCCTATTGGGAATTCCCCCACTGGGAATTATGCCACAGGGTTTCAAAGGAAAGAGAATAATAATGCCCTTCATTAATATAGGCTTTTCTGTCATGACTTTTAGGCCTCTCTCCAGGCAAGCAGGCAAGCACATGTTTGACATTAAACACACGAGTAGTCTCTATTCACATGCTGCAAGCTAGAAATGCTCATTAGTGCTGGATCATGGCCCCAGCTGAGCTCTAACACACTCCAGCAAGGAAGCTGGGCTGGAGGAAAGGTGGCCCTTTCATCATGGTTGCACTATCACTGGCGAAGTAGCTTCGGGTCCTCCACAGGGTGATGGGTTGTTCCCTTGGCAGCAGAGATGTGACCTGCTGAGCTGTGACAATGTCATCATTCAGAGCTGCTTAGCTGATGAGCACAGCTCAAACACACCACATTCAAACCCATCCTCTGGAGTATTTTCAGCGTTAGCATCTCTCCAATGAATGTTGAAAGGGGAATGATTTGGGGCAACAGGGTTGTAAGATGATTGCTGTGGTCTGTGAGAGCCTGCTGAGCCCTGTGTGGAGAGTGCCTGAAGGGGGATTACAGGGCTCCTCAGGCCTTTACGCCACATGTTAAAACATGGACTGATCAAGTTTTGGAAACCAGCACTGGATGGTGTCTCTGGGCTTTCCTGGGTCCGAATGTTGCAATAAAGCAGTTCAATGCTCTCTGCTTTCCCTGCACATCAGCCAGAAGGGGAGAAAAGGGGACAGGCCCCCTCTTCGATGCTGAGCACTGAGTGAGTCACAGTTCAGTGTCCAAACCAGCAGACCCCTCCTGACCAAGGAAATGGGAAGTTTTGTGACTCAGAGGGAACATGTCTACTATCTCAGAGAAATCCCTAGGCAAAGCCACCTTCACGGTGCCTTGCTCATGCCTGTGCTGAAATTCATAATCCAGACTAAACAGTCTATCATTCTCAGATAAAGTATCCCAGATGAAAAGACCCATTTTTAAAAATGCTTTTAATACTGTTTTCTCCAGAAAAAAAAATAAATTACTACCTCCTTCAACATCCCAACAAGTATAAACCTCACAGCTTTCCTGCCGCCTCTGGAATTACCAGGTCATTGCAGACATCAAAATTAATGAAGAGATGAAAGATTCAGCAAAAAGGCAAAATCTTACTGGAAAAATATTTCTTAATATCAAAAGCAATCCTAGAATAATGAATATATCTAGAAGAGTAATAAACAAATGCAAACTTCCTGATGCTTGAAAGAATACACATGAAGTAAGACACAAGACTTTAGGGATATTTTTTTCTTTAAAACACCAATTCATTTTAAAAAAAACAATGCTTCCATGTGCTTCTGGCTTTACAGGAGCGTGACTTCCACTGGCTAAATTTTTGCAATACTTTAAACTCGGCTAATTAGCCAAACTCAGTCGATGCAGAAAGGGGGTTTCATCCCACCAGACGGAAGGGTTGCACTAAAACACAGTTCTCTGTGTGCCCGTCCTTGAGCACTCTGATACTTAGCACTGAGGAAATGGTTGTGGTAAACTGGAGCTGAATTTGAGCAGGGACAAGAGGGGAGGGTTAAAACAAGGTAGCCAGGGGTTAAAACAAAATAAATAAATATTCAAAAAAAATGCTACATGCATTTCAGCTGAACTTTCTTGTAAGAAAAACAACTTTGTCTAATTTCTTTGTGATATAGACTGTCATTCCCTGCTGGGCAGTGGTTTTTCAGCTGGTGCAAACAGAGGAGTAACCTGTAGCTCTGTATTGCACGCTAGACCTGATAAAGCAATATCGTTGTGTGATTTCTATTGGAAAAAAAATGTTTCTCTGAAGCCCTCATTTAAATAGACTTGAAACAGATACTCTCTAGTCCCACCTGTACAGCAAAATGACCTCTTGGCAATTCAAACAGTCTAACAGAGAATAAGAGTAACTAATCTATGGGATCCTCCAGCACTCCCATACCACTACTAATAGAAGAAAAATCAATATTAGTTCCAATATGAATGGAGTGTTGGATTGACTGAGCAGGGAGCTTTGAAATAAATATCTAAGAAATGTTTAGATGAAATGGACATCTTCACAGACATTTGGTCTGCATTTTTGAAATGTAGATGATTAAATCCACATTGTTGGCTTCTTCCCCCTCTGCACTATGTCTTTCTTTACATCTTGCAAAAAATTTATGAACAAAGTTATTATAAATCTGCAATGTCTGTCTTGTCACTTAGATTCTTTTCAGAAATGCTGCCTTGCCAATGTAGATATACAATCCTGTATGATTAATATTTATTACTTATAATTCTAAATACAATAGAAGGTCACAAAAAACACTCTGCCTAAAGGAGTCTGGAGCCCTTTAAACTCTCATTGGTGATGGCTCCTGAGTCTTGAGAACTGAGTTCAAAATCTTAGCAAAACACTTTTTTGTGTAGGATTTCCAGTATTTCCTGCTTCTGACTACAAAAGCCAAAAAGCACAAAGGTGAGCAAAAGTTACAGATCTGAAAACATGAACTTGGATTTCAAACTCAAACAAAGGTCAGGGAATGCCTGAACCTGTCCATAATCTTGTATCAGCCTATAATGGAGTTATGAGTAAAATACAAATTAGGATGCAGAGTGAGACTTGAATTGTGGCAGAACAGGCATGGGAGCTGAAAATTGCTCCATTTTCTTCTTATTCTTTCTCATACCCATAGTTACATATTATCTAGATATTTAGGGGGTACTGTTAGGAAAATGAAGATATTTAAAGATTTTTTTGTTATTAATTAGAAGGAAGGTAGCTTGGGGATTTTTATAGATTTTAAAATGAAATCTTTAAAAGTTTTTAAGAACATGCAAATCATCTTAGTGCTCATTGCACTTACAGCTCATTTTCTTTGTGGTATAAGCCCAACCATTTTAAACATAATTTTTCAAAAACAGATGCAATTTGAGGTCGCTAAGAGCAACTGATTGTGATTTGGCCCTTATCTATGAAAACTACAGAAAGACATGTAAGAATGTTTCAGAACCACAGGATTCAGCACACTGGTGAAGACTGAGACATGGAAATCAGGGCAGACCCTGGTTTGCTTACCCTGCCTGAGATCTGCTGCATGTTTGGACAGTCTTCTTTTAGGAGCTAAATATAATAAGCAGAGAGAAAGAATCTACATCCGCCTCTGTGTCTTTTATTCAAAGATTCACTGCAACTGTGATTAAGCAAAGAGACTGACTGAAGTACAAACCTGAGAAAAATGTAGTTTCTGTTGATCAACATGCTTCAAATCATACTGGAAGTAAAAAAGTCCCTGTGACCATTGGTCAGATAGAAGACTTTTCACTAGGAACAATTTGGCAGAGCTTTGCTAATAACACTTTTCTAAACTGACCGAGCCATCTTGACCTGCACGGTGAGTGAAAACAAAACCAGAAAAACAGACAGAAAGGACCGACTCAATCAAGATAAATAAATAAATAAATAAATGCCAGAATAAAAGGGAAAAAAAGAAAATAATATCACAAATAATAATTCCAACCTCATGAAGAAATATTTTTAACAAGCCACATGTGCTTGTGCAGACACTTCTAATCTCATTAGATTTTTCTGGCTGCTATTAGTGTTCTCTGAGCCAGCTGATTTCTCAGCAATATTTTAAAGAGTGCGAGCCTTTGCCCTCCTGTCTAGCCACTGATAAAACAGCCCGTTCTAGGAGAAGACTTGAGAGTTCATGGATTTTTCTTACAAGGTTTTGAAAGTTCAGAACAAATTGACCATTGCATGAGAAACAATAGTCAACCACAAACTATCTTCACAGTTAATGAGTAACATTCTACGCCCAGCTGGGTTAGTGTGAAAAGTGGAATAATCCCACTAAAGCAACAGGATGGTTTCAGATTGTCATCAGCATCACACGGCAGAGGCTGGCACTTGATGCTGTCTCCACTCCTCCAGCTCTCTGGCTGCAAACAAGCCTGCTGTGAGGTTCCTGTTGGTCACAGCTCACCAGCTCAGGGTTCCCCTCAAATTTGTGCAGCTCTAGCAGCTCCGATCAGAAGGGGAGCCACATCAGGTTAGAGCTCAATTTTGTTTTATCTTTTAAAACAGCAATAAATCCCCCTAAACTGAAAAATCATGAGCCGTGTGCACTGCTATACATATTGGGGCACATGAGTTTCAAGTAAAAGAGCTGTCAATCTGAATTTGCTAAAGGAACGTGCAAATAATCACTAGTATAAAGCAGATGTGCCAGGAAGGAACTACAGATAGAACAAAATAATTACTGTTAGAAAAAAATTCCTAATTCAGAATCATGGAACCTGGATCGGTAAACCCTGGATGAACGGGACTGAGGCATGTTGCACGGATTTCTGCTGGCATACTTGCTGAATTTCTGGCTGGAAACGTGCCTCTTACTGTTTCAGCCTGCCCTCTTTGAGGCTCTCAGAGCAAACTTCTCCTGGGGTGAGATGATGAGCACTTGAAAGTGACCCATCTGGAGCCCAAGGCGAAGAAAGCGCTTCCCCCTGCCTGGAATTCATGTGCAGCGACAGCTTTCTACTGCTGATCCAAGTTTCCCAAGATAGCAATTATAAAGGAACTGGCAGCCATACAGTCAAGATGACAATATCCTACATGGTTTGGTTAGCTGTGCCAATTCCCTCTGTGGGTGCTGGAGTCAATCTGCTGCCCCCATTATAGCTGTGTCTGTCTGTCTTTACCAACCAGCTGATCCACTGGGCATTTTGGCACGAGCCCTGCTCTTCCAAGGGTTGCCTGCTCAGTTGTTCATTCACTCTCTTTTGCTTTAAACATTTGGATCCAACAACACCATGCAAATTTTATGCAGAGTAGCATCTGCAAGTCTGACATATTTGCTCTGGCTTCCCCCTCTTCCACCAAGTTAAAAATAAATACCCTATAAACTCTTGGGCCTGCTAAAACAGAACGTGCATTCAGAGAGTTTATTTAAATATAACTGCTGAGAGTATTTCTGCTTTAGGGTCAAACTCCTATTTTTCCCCCCCTCTCTCTTGTATTTTGTTCATGCCTCAGGATTTCATTAGCACTGGGGGGAAAAGCGTCCTTGAAATAACCTACAGAAGAACCAGTTCTATGTGTTCCTAACTCTCTTATCCGAATATTCAGCTAATATCTTATTTTTAAAACTGTAAAGACTACAGGTGGTGATATACGCCCCACATGAAACAAGAAAGTTGTAAAGACTCATTTCCAATACTGATTGCAAATAATACTAGTCGAGCCAGATCTTAGGTTAGACTTTAAAGGGTCTCCACCCACCCCACCAGAGCTGCCTTTTCTCCAGGGAGAAGCAGATTTGTCCCTGACCAATACACTTGGAACAGGTGAAGTCATAGGGATGCCAACCAGACAGCATAACAACAAAGTATATCTTAAGGCAACAAGGAGAAGAGTCTGTAAAAGGGGATACTGAGCCACCACTGAGGTCAGTTAGGACTTGCTGAGCCGCTTGGCCACATCTGCATAGGCTTGCTCGATTTCCTTGTCTGCTGCACAGGTGTTGGTGAACTCGTCCCTGGCATAGGCGTTCTTCAGGTACCGCCACAGCCCCGTCATCTCCGTCGGGAACTCAAAGTTGCGGTATTTCTTTGCAACAATCTAAAACAAAAAGACAAAAGGGAGAATAAACCATCTTGCTCGTGATATATTTCTCCAGATTCCTCCCTAGAGAGCTTCTTACTCTTTCCTGTCATAGAATTAACTGCAAATTAGAGAAATGCTTGGTGACTTAGAAAAGTCTGAAAAGGGATTGTTGGTTGTCCCCTATCTTGCAAAGATGCTACTTGGGCTAAGGACATTCTAAGTCGGTGACCGGGCTGCTGCCAACAAATTACTATTTTTATGGTACCTGAAATTCATTATTTTACCATATTGAGTTTTGGGGGATTTTTTTACCAGTTTTTAGTATATTACTTAAAGCTGAGATGCCACATAAGAAAGAGCTGAATCATAAAAAGAAAGACGGATTTAAGAGAAAAGCATTAGTAAAAATTATAATTTTTTCATATTAATATTTCTGTTTTAAATTATTTTATACATATACTATATTTTAATTTTAATATATTTAATATATTTTGCCTGCCCAATGGGGTCAGAGGATGTAACCACCTACAGCTGTTGGAAGGCTCTATCCTGGTTCATGAAAAGGAAAAATTCAGGGTGGTATGAGTAGCATGATTAAGAAACCAACATGATTTAGCAGATATTAGAAACAGGAGCACTGGGATAAACTGGTGAGAAAATGGTTATTTCAAGACTTGTTAGACTAGGAAATTGTCTATCAAGGGAAATTTTGGATTTCTAAAAACACTTAGGCTCTTATTCAGGAAAATAGTTAAGTGCATACTTAATTTTAAGCACCTGTATGGTTTCATTGAAGTCAATGGGATTAATCTGTGCTTATAGCTTGTTGGTTAAGTACCTTGCTGGATTGGGATATTTCAGTTTCCCTTATATAGAATAAGCCTGTGGTGACAGAGTGAACTAGTTGATAGGAAGGGAGGGATTAGCTAATTTAATGAGTGCTTCCAATCTCTAGTTTTTCTGACAGTATAAAATTGTTCCTGGGCATAAATTACATACATATGTGCCACAGAGTTCCCCTTCATTTTTAAAGCACATGGTAGAGCTGTTTTCCATCTCAAATTTCTTAGGACAGTCATGTTCTCAGAAATTACTGTGATTTGTTTTTATTACCAGGATTCACTTGGTATATGCAAGTCAAAATCCTGTCCTAAACTGCATTTAATTAAGCATTCTTGCCTTCAGTGATGCTTTACACACATATGGGGAAGATAAAACCTGCTGAGAAACTTAGGATTTTCAAAATTTCCAGCACACATCTTCCATCAAATGAAAAAATAATTTACTCTTTTCTTCTATCTACAAAATGTTTTTCAGGCAATATCCTATGGTGATGCTTGTCTGAGAAAAATTTTCATTCTCCTTTGACATCTTTCATTTCATCCCAAGGAGACAAGAACCAGTAAGGGGCCATACATTCATTTTGCATTGTCTGACTCCAATGTCATCAATGAAGACAAGCCAAAGAAAGTGCTAAACCTGTGAGGATATTATCACATTTCTCACCTGGTGACTTATGCACTTTTTAAATTTATTTATTTTTCTTTCTGCATGTGTGCAGTCAGCTCCCAGGCTCAGTTTATGTTTTGGCTCATGGAGCCAAATTAGATGCATGACTTGGCTTTAATTCCTAGCTCACTTGCTTGCCAGGGTCTGCCAGGTATTTGCGTTATTCTAAAGCAACATGTCATCTGATAAATTAAATAAATGCAACATTTAGAAGTCAAGATGATGTACATCATTTGCACTATACCAGCGACCATAGTACATCTTAAATCCTGGACCTCTGCGGTGACTTTGATTTGTTAACTTCTCTGTGTGAAACACCAGATGGAATAAATATTCCCCAAAAAGATGGACTGCTGCTCTTAAGTTACAAATGGGTGGGACCTGCCTAAGGTTTTGACAAGTCTCTTAAGAACACTAAGAACTAATTAATACGAAAGACTGCTGTTACTTGTAGCAGGGTAAAAATAAAGAGATGAGATAGAAGTTAATATTGTCTTTGCCACTAATCAGTGATGGGACAGTTTTCCCATGTACTACGTACAAAGTTCCCTTAGTTAAATTATAGGAAACACTGAGGAATAAAAGTGTGTTTCAAACTGCTCTTCTGGGACTTCAGATCTCTCTGCTGAAATACGAGTTGGCTTTAGCACTCAGCTGCCAGAGTAGGGCACATCACTGTCAGACAAGGCTTCTTTGACCATTGCATGACATCTTTCACCTTGACAACATGGAGTTTGGGCAGAAGGTTGCAGTCAGCAAGAGTCAGGTCATCTCCATCCAGAAACTTGCGTTTGGACACTTTGTCCTCTTCAGTGCTGTTTGCATCGATCTCCTCTGGCAGAGGGGTTCTCAGGTAGTCATCGAGCTTCTTCAGAGCCTTCACCAAGCCTCTTTCAAGAGCTTTCCCAAAAAAGCAAAGAATAAGTGATTAGGGCAGAGTAAGAACTCATTGTCAATGGCTATGGTAGTATCTAGAAAAAAAAGCCAAGAACCATCTCTTTGTTGTTAATTTGTACTCCAAAGTCTACACAACCTTATGACAAAATAGCCCAGCAAGGTCTGCCTGAGGGTAAAGCTCATCCTGCAATGGGAAAAAGGGACACAGGAACCTGTTGTGCCATGTTCTCTCCTGCCTAGACAAACAACAAAAAAACAGGGAAAGAGATGCCAGAAGGAAAGAACAGCTTATGATACACTAATAAAACACCTACAACCTATTCTGGTCTGTAGAGGCCATCACACAGTAAACTGGAGTCCTGTACTCTGCTACTTTATTTAACTAAGCAGCCACATATGACTGCAGTGAAGCTGAATTTTTTAGCATTACTTCAGCTCTAAGAAATCTTAGTTTTACTTCTTCCAACCCCCTCCCAGAGTTATTAAAGGCAATAGTAGTAATTCCAAAGATGCTAAATGGAGCTCTATGGAGGTGAAGGATATACTACAACTGAGATACTCAGCCACAGTTAAGATTCACATTTACCTCAGGCTCAACCTTAGCTGCAAATAGTCTTTTTGAGATGTCTCAAATAGGCTGTCACAATGGAGAGGAGACTTCAGAACAGTTACTAAAGACCATGTCCCACACTGCTGCTGGCTCAACAAATTCCGGTCTTTAAATAGCACTTAGACCTCTACAGGAGAGTGCAAATTTTTTCACCCAGGCACTGAATTTGTGTTCTTACACTTCATGTGCAGGATAATACAAAGACCTGATTGCAATAATGCACTTATAAAAAGCTGAAAGGCTCTACGCAGGTTTACGTGTTACTTAAACTGCAAACACTCTGGGGCAAGAAGGGTCTTTTGCATTTCTGTTTGAAGGGTGACAAGCACAGGGAGTCCTGGTTCCCAACAAGTGCCCCAAAGTGCTAAAGCAACATAAATAAGAAACAGCAAGAATTTACAATGTGAAAAAATAACAACATGACTCATGGGCTCAGGGCCAGAATTTCAGCTGGTGAAAATTACCTGCAGTGATTTATACCTGCTGCAGATCTGGCCTGGAGTCAGAATTAAAAGCCTAATCCTGTAAAATCTTATATCTCTGAGTAACTTACTGCCACTGAATTTAGGAGAGTCTACTCAATGGATCAAGTTACTCAGGCAACGCAGCAATACAAGGCCTATGGAAAGTACAAGGAGCAAGTTTCAAACAGAAAGTGGGTTAATTTGGTTAGTTATACAGAAGAAATTCTCTACTGTGAGGTGATGAGGCATTGTACCAGGTTGGCCAGGGAAGCTGTGGATGCTCCATCCCTGGCAGTGTTCAAGACCAGGCTGGATGGGGCTTGGGGCAACCTGGTCTCGTGGGAAATGTCCGTGGCAGGGGATTTGGAACCACATGATCTTTAAGATCCTTTGCAACCCAAACCACTCTATGATTCTAAATACATTTATGGAGCACAACAGAAGCTTGAAAGGACTGTAGCAATCACCCTTCACAGAGAGGCTTGCTGGCACAGGTAGCTCTACAGGCTCTGCTGTCAGCCACCCCTGTATTTTTGGCATGGAGAGAAAGGCAGCATGTCCAGGGCCACTAAGGGAGCAGAAGCTGAACACCACAGAACAGGATTTCTCTGCTGCCCTTACATCCATTAAACCTGTGCCAGCGGTGGAAGTCAGATTAAGCTGCCTGATGCCTTGTTCCCACTGAAGCCTCTTGGCCCAGCACCAGGGAACCATACCAGCTCTTTTGTGGCTGACTCTGAGACACAGTGGCAAACCCTGGCTTAATTGATTGACTGGAGAAACGACTGTGATCCAACTGAAAACACCCCCACAAACATAGCAGGGAAGGAAAGAATTTTATTTCTGAAAGCAGAGCATCTAAAGCGACTGAAGTGCTGCCATCCATAAAACAAAAGTGTTGCCATCCTTCATTTAATCAATTCAAATTGAATTTTGACACTGACATTCTGCTGTCAGATGCTGGCAGTGGTGCCTTTAATTGCCTGCAGCTGTACTGAGTCCCACAACTTCTACTGGAGGGTAGTAACTCTGTAGTGTGTCATTTACCCCCATGTGGCAACACTCAAAAGATTTAGCAATCGATTTTTGGTTTGACCTATAACACCTGTTGAATAGATAGTTCTCCTTCTCTTGGTCAGCCTCAGATTGTGTCCTCTTACAATGCATTTATGTTCGAGACAATAGACTTGAATTACTGCTATTTAATTCAATTTTGCTCATCCAGATTTTAGAGAATTGGCTTGACACTGAGCATTTTCCAGTATTTCCTTCATCCAGTAGGATCATTGGTTCTCCAAGTCATCCGAGCAGTGTTCCAGCATCAGCAGGACATTAGATGCTTTGTGTTAGCCTGTGGGGTGAGTCAGGTGCGTGTATAGAGACAGGAGCAGCAGGTGAGATGTGTTTATGTAACTTTGCCAGAACTTATTAGGGTTTGGGTTTATTTTTTTGCTCTTTCTGCTATATCAAAATGTGTCATGGCTGTCCCAAAAACAATGCCTGGAGCGAAGCCTGTTTGTGACACCAGGAAAAACTTCTATCTGAATTCATGCTTGGCCCTTGCATACAGAAGCTTTAGGTCAGAAATAAGCATATGTTCAGGGTTCAGTACACTTGTGACCTAATTCACAGGCTCTGCTGGAACCCACAGGATCCTGACATCCCACCAGGAAATGAACACACAGCATCCTGACATCTCACAGGGAAATCACCACATGGTCAAGACCATCTTATACCCTGATAGTCAAGAACTGGACCACTACTTATGACACCAATGACCCCATTTATTTAACTAAAACTCTTCTGATCCTGGTAAATCTCTCAGAACAGTCAGGAAAATAGAAGAGAACTGAAAAAGGGAAGACTGATCCTCTTCCAATTAAATAGTGACCAGAATTTTGAAAACTAAGAGAATTAAGATCCTAAAATTGCAATATCAAATGTTTTTTAGGTGCACGTGATCAGATTTTTAAAGCCTGTTGATGGTTTTCAAGGCATTTTTTGAAATCCATATGCAAATATCCATGTTGCAAATCCTACTTGCTAGGTGTCCTGATACATTCAGATTTATCTATATGATTTACAGTCTTATGTTCCTTGAGAAGGTACTCAGGGAAATCCCCACTCAAAGTAGGAGGATGTCTAAAAAAATCTAATTTTTTCTCTTACCTGGTAGAAATTTAAGCATTATGTGAAAGGTGAAAAAATATGAACAGAGACCAGGGAAAGAAATAACTCCTTCAGTATATCTTATAGCTTTTGAATGTTCTGGGACTTTTGCTGAGGAAAGAGCTGTCTGGGTTCATATTACTGAGCAAACTCAGCAGAAGATTTTATTTCAAACCTCCCATACTATGGCTATTTCATGAAAATCTGGATGGTTCTATACATTGTCTCCACTTAGAACACAGGGGAGAGGATGCACTCACCAGGGCAGAGGTCATATGAATACCAGTCACAGCACTGGACTGGATGAAGGTGCTTAAAATGGTGTGACTAACTAAAAATTACTAATTCCCCATTTGTGAAAGTACCACCCACAATGAATTTCAGAAGTGGTTAAGTACCTAATTCCCTTGGCAATTTATTCTCTGGGAAACATCATTAAATAACTAAATAAATTTGCTGATAACAGCCAATGGGTGGGATTAATCTTCCCTGAAGTGAATAAATTAAATAAGTCTGAATTAAGCACCCTGAGCTCCTTCTGTGTTCAGTGGAGTCTTCTTGTCTACACTTGGTTTCAGTGACCCCTAAATCAGCTGTGGGGACAACCTTTCCTGAAGTGTCTAATCTAACCCTTGCATTGTCTTGGTAACTTCAGGGTGGAGGATTCAGTATTACACCACCAAGTGGAACCGAGCCTGAGAATGTGGCTCTGTGCTGCTTTTGAAGTTTCCACCTCCAATTGCTTCCCCGCCCTGCAGACTTTCAGTATGAACTTAGAGATCCCAAATGTGACCACCTCTATGAGAGGAACCCTGTCATAAGCTTATCCATCAACAGCTGAAATGTCTGAACTCCTGGAAACCATCTCTCTGGACAGTGAAATTACCAAGCACAAAGGCTCCAGCATCATATTGCCTCCACAGGGATATATTTAATATAATTTCAAATTCCAAGAAGTTGTAGCCATGTATATACAAAATCCATGGTGGATCCATCTCTCTCAGCCTTCACTACTTCACTCTGGGCTCCTTATGCAGCCAAGACAACTTACAGCAATCACAGTCCTGCCCTGTCATCCCATCAATAGTAAACAACTCTATTAATAAAAAAACCTTATGAGCTCTTTGTCATTTTCCTTCTCCCTTCAAGACTATGCTTTTAAACAACTGTACTTAAGAATCCAGAGTTAGAAGCCAGAAAAATAGCACTTTCCAACCTCAAAGCAACCACAGAACACTTAATGAATGTATTACCATCTGTCAAATGCACAGGGTGAGGTTCAATTTAGTTGATGATACCTAATTCAGAATGACGTTCCGTTTTCAGCAAAAGGTTACTTGATGTTGAACAATGAGATTAACAAATTCTGACATGCACAGAAATACAAATAATGTAACAAAAGTTAATAATTGGCAAAATTGTGCTCTCAGTTACACTGACATAAAAGAAGAGTAACTCTGCATTGTCAACAATCTATTCCATATTTACTCCAGTTCAACCAAGAACAGACTTTGGCTCTGTTACTCAACTCTTCAAGCAAAAACTTCCTTAAACTATTAGCCTGTGCAACTGTTTCCAGGGGACGGAGTGAAATCCTTGTAAGTGCAAACATTGGAAAATGTAATGCATGGAGGGGAATCCTGCAAGTCAAGTGGAGGTCCACACGACAAAGATTCATTAGTAGGTACTCAGGGTGAAATTCTGGGCACAGTGAAGCCCATGGAAGTTTTGCTGTTGACTTCAGCGGGGTTACGATTTCT